AAACATGCAAGGAGTAGGGATTAATGAGTGGGCCTACATAAGCTACTGTTGCTGAAAAATGTAACTGTACCCACAAAAGTTGCTAATTTTTATACTTTTGAGGCAACAAAACCATCTACAGTCCATACTGCCTGAACGCGAGCTTGTTTCTGGAAATCCTCGCGCCAAACATGAATGACAGTAAAATCCTTTAGGTTAGTTTAGAGCTGTACTGTAGAATGCGTTCCATTTAGTTAGACGGAGGGGTGACAATGTGATTTCGGACTCGATAAACTTACTTCACGTAACTGCCTAAATACGTCGTGGTGGTAAGGAGGTTGTTCTCACCACAAAGGTATGACAGAGTCCATCCACAATGCCCTTTCCACACGGAAATATTTAACGTACTACAGTTATTTTATTTTAATAGTTTTAGATGGCTCTATTTTTAGTTTTATTATTTAAGTTTTATTTTAGTTTTCTTTAAGGTTTGTGTAGTTTTAGTTTAGTTTTCGTTTAGTATTTTAGTTTATTATTTATTTTAATTGGGTTGATTTAAGCTTTAGTTGAATTTACTATATCTTGGTTAAGTTTACTTAATTGAAGCATTGTTTTCCCGAAAGAAATTTGAGCAAAGCAAAGACAACGAGACTAGCAGAATTTAATAAAGTCTTGCAATTTCGTGACCTCATATTCAACTGCACACGGTCAATGCCTATTAATAAAATATAATTAACTGTCCAATTAAGTATCGACCTAGAAGATTGAAACCTGATAGGTGAATAGAGAAGGAGCTATTAATCTTATGTGCGGGTGCACGGTGAGGAGAAAGAGGGTAGTTATCGAAGCAAGAGAGTTAATTTTACCTTATTAATAGACAATGACAGTTTGCAGTTGAATAAGAGATCACGAAATTGCATGACGTTATTAATTCCTGCTGGTCTCGTAGCCTTTGCTTAGTTTAGTTACTTTGGTTTCAGTGTCCCTTAGTTTTTAGGGCAAAAGTAGCTTATGTAGGCCCACTCATATACCCTTGGTCCCAGCATTTTGTCCTGCAAAAACGGTAGTTATAGAGTTTTGGGGGGTGGGAAAATACGATAGGCAGAGAAGGAAATATTTAGATGTCAGTGTAAAGGGAAAAAATGTAGTCGAAGGTGCTTCCCGCGGCT